AACTGCTATATTTTCTTTGATTCTAGAAAATATTTTAAACAAGTTTTTCTCTATTTTTATCAATTTTATCTATTTTTATCAATTGTCTGCTCAAATGGGAGTATTGCTTTAAATAATAGTTTTAAAAGTGAGTTTCAGTATCTGACTTATGTATGTTCCAGATTTTACTGTAAATTGTATTCATCATAAGCTTTGTAAAGTGTTAGTGGTTGAATAATATATTCTAGCAAAGAAGTTCAATTAAATTTCAGAGAAGTGAGCATAATGAAATTGTTGTTGTTGTTGTTATGTGCCGTTGAATCGGACCCCTCCTTGGGTTTCTGAGGCATTACATTATCATTTTGAATAACTTAAAGTTTACTTCAGATTTTCTATAAATAATGGCAGAAGAATACTACAAAAATACCCTTTTCTTTCCCAAAAACAGAAATACTAATTTGCCATACACTAAAATTTTTAGGGAATTTCATTTTCCATCATTAACATTTCTAGAAAATTGCAAGCATTTTATAACATGATGTGCTAATGCCTCTCCTTCATCACATAAGAAATAAAACAAAATATAAAAATAAAACAAGAAAATGCTCAAGTTAAAGGAACACTTCATTTCTATCTTGTAAAATCAAGCTTAAAGGCAACTCCAGTGTTCCCCAATTTGGGGCTGATTTTGTTTATTCATTGCACTCAGTTGTATTTCTAGTAGAAATTATAAGATAGCATATGTATGGATGATCAGAGATAAAGAAGAAAGGGAATAAACTAGTAGTTTCAGAGGTTTTTGAAAAATGTGATTTGTTCTTAACTAACCACTGCTCCTCCAATTTAATCACCTTTTGTGGACTTAGATCTATAAAAACTATAGCTCTATGTCCACAAAGCCTGTGTATGCATTATTCAAATTAGTAAACACAGATTTATGGAAATGTTTTTTCTAAATTTGTTTTTTCATTAGGGTGGCTGAAAGTAGTAATAATTAATATTTAGGCTCATTTTATTCTGAAACAGCTATTTCAATATAAAAAAAAAGTGTAATTTTCTTTTCACAAGTGAGGACATTGAGACTTGATGTTAAAGTGACATTCCCTTCATGTATTCCCCATGCAGTTGTCAGTCACAAAGCTGAGACCGGAACTATCTGGTATGACTCATTTTAGCATGATATTGATTTAAAGTGTAACCAGCTTTCAATAACAGGTAGAGAATTCACCATTGTATTGCCACAGCATGCATTTTTTCCTAATGTTTAATATGAGAAGACAAATGGACATGGTTTTAAGAACTTGAATATAGGAACAAATGCTAAGGGTTACCCATCCTCTTTTAAGTCCTTGTCTCATAATTGTCACTATAACAGATGTGGAGAAATTCTGTACAAAATTTCCTGATTAGCTGTAAAGGAATGTGCCTCTTTTATAAACCATTTATTCCTTGGGCTTAATGTGGCCCATCATCTGGAAGATTTAGATGCAAACCTTCCCTGCCCTGCCCCCCCCCCCCATTTCAAGACCTCTGCCTATAATAGCAAGTTGAACCTAACTGGAACACAGTCAAAAGTGCAGGCTGACGACAACCTTTTGGAGGGTGCTTCCTGCCATGCTGGGATCCCCCTTGGCTGGGAGGCCAAAGCTGTGTTACCCATGGGGCAAGGATAAGGGATTTGGATGCCTCGGGGATGAGAACCAGCAGACCAGAACCAGGAGGGAATGGTGGAGCGAACTCATCTTCCATTCCTCTGCCACAATAGTGACTGACAGAAGTCAAATAGTACTACATTTTGCACCAAACATAAAATTGGCAGCAATTATTTGAAGTCATTTGAGAAAGTCTTCTGGTATTCTGTGTTTCTACAAAACCTGGGAGAGCCAGAACTCTAAGGGCCTGACTGGTTTTTTAGGTCTTGCAATTTTACTGCCTTTGACAGGGTGATTTCTTATCATTTTTCTCTCTATATATAATAGTGGAAATATTTGAGTTTTCCTTCTCTGACAGGTTTCAGTCTTATACAGGTTCTAGCTTTTGCATGTTTCACTTTACTAAGTTTATCCTACTTGGAATGACAGATTCCAAGAGTCCACTCATCAGCCTTTTCTAGCCCCTCTCAGATCCTTTTACGGGGCTCAAGGAGAGAGGGAGTGGATGTGTAGAACTATGGAAGCAGAAACTGGTTCTACCATTGGAGGGTTACACATAAGCTGTTGTTGTTGTTTGCCATCGAGTCGGCCCCAACTCATAGCGACCCCTCCTTGGGTTGCCGAGGCAGTAACACTAGGGAAGTAGGATTGCCCAACCTTCCTTCCGAGGAGTGGCTGGTGGGTTTGAACCACCAGCATTCTGGTGAGCAGTCAAGTGCCTTAGGCACTATGCTACCAGAGCTAGCTAGTGACCTCATTTCTCCAAGAACTTTTTCTTAGCCCCTTTCTTTCTGTTCTCCCCATTTCTTTTGTAATCTCATCCCGCTGCTCCTAGCTCCCTCCTTCCTCCCAGTCATCCTTACCTGTCTACCGCGATTGCCGTCATAGAGTAGATGCTGGCGAATACTGCTGTGATAGGAAAGAAGTTGTGGAAGCGGCAGTAGTTGGCTCCAAAGTACCACTCGCTGTGAAGCGCGTAAATGAAGTTGACCAAGGTATTGAAGGCAGCCATGGAGGCGTCGGAGAAAGCCAGGTTCACGAGGAAGTAATTGGTGACAGTCCTCATACGCTTGTGGGCTAGGATGATCCAGATGACGATGAGGTTTCCGAAGACCGCCACTGCCACAACTACGCCATACGCCAGGGACCAGAGAGCGATGCGCCAGGACGGCTGCACGAACTGGTTAGTGAGGTTGGCCCGGGGCTGAGAAGGCGCCAGGGAGGCCGCGGGCAGTCCCCGCGCAGACGAGGTGGAGGCAGACAGGTTGCCGACTTGGACCAGTAGTTGCAACCACTCGGCCTCTGCTGCCCCAGAAGACGCCCCCTCCGCGAGCGCGGAGTTCAGGTTCTCCGCGGCGTACTCACCCACACCTCCCGCGCTGTTGGTCCAGTTCGCGGCTGCTGGAAGAGAAGCCATTACGGCAGATCTGCAGCTTCAGACCTTCCCGCTCACTCGCCGCCAGTCAGGCCCAACTTCACCGAAGTTCTTCTCTGCCTCTTGCTCACTTCGTGCAAAGGCTGCCTTCTCCGCCTCTCCTGGAAGCGAGTAGAGAAAGTGCCGCTGCCTCTGGTGCTTGAAGGTTGCTTTGAGCTAGCAGGTGATGAAAAGCAAGGGCGGAACTTTCTCCTAGAAGTTTGCGTCTCTGGCAAGAGCGAAGGATGAGATGATAAGAGAGAGAGATTTTAGGGTCTGTCCCCAGTGGCGAACTCGGGTCGCACAAGGAGTGCAGCGCCTGATCACCGGCTGGAGCACTGAACCTAGGGCGCTGCGGCGCGCTTTATAGCTTTGCTGAGCCCCCAGCTTTGGTGACGTCGCTGGGACCGCGGAACTGGCGAACCTCTTCGCGAGCTAAGATTACGCTGGTTTCTCCATCCCGCCCTCTGCATTTCATTCATTCGCCAGTCATCTCCTCTCAGCGGGTGCTAACTTGACCAAGGAACGACTATGCTTTCTCAGTTGTAGTGAAATCTTTCCAAGATTGTGTTTCCTCTTTTAACTTAAGCATATTTTGCTGAGATCCTACTTCTCAGACGTTTATTGTGTTCTTTTCTGCATGAATTAAACCCATTTACTGGTGAGGCAAAGGCAAGAGTCCCAGTGGATTCTTCTGAAAGACCTTAAATGGCTATAGCCTGCTGCACTCTGGCTACAGTGAGCTGTGAGCTTCGGAAACAATTGCTTTTTCATTAAAGTTTCTGCTCTTGTGTTCAGGTTCTCACTTCTCAGATCCCTCTTCCTACTCTATGACACTTCAAGCTCTACCTGTTTTCTCACTTCCTCTGATCTCTATCTCCAGAAATCGGTCCTCTCAGTACACAACTCAGGCAGAGGTTTGTAGTGCCCTAACACACTGAGGATGAGTCAGGAATTCCAAGATGTAAGTTTTATTGAAACAGGATAATGAGACTTGGATTTCTTCATTTCTTTAGGATGAACGTATCCTGAGAAGGACTCTAAATACTTGTTTATGCGGTTCGCAGCCTCAGTTTTAAAGGACTGGCCGCCAGAACGCACCGGGTGAGGATGCATGACAATAACGTTAATTTTAAAAAAATAGATGAGTGGGCCAGGTTTCTGGTGTTTGGCTGAAAGCAGGTGAGCTAGAGTGCTGTGGGGAGGAAGTAGTGCTCTGCACTTAGATTTGATTTCACAGGCAATTTTTCAAGGTGTTTCAGAGCAGAAACTCCACTGTGGGCAGAGGTATAGGGAATTAGGTTTGAACATATTTTCACCAATCTCCTGTAATACACATGAACAATTTGAACACCAGTTTCCTCACTTGAAAATGAGGAATAAACAAATAATGTAATTTACTGGGTAATTAAGGGTTTGAGGAGTTTCAACAGTCTTTCTCAATAAAATAAGGCAGCTTGTTGTTGTTGTTTGCCATTGAGTCAGACCGGACTCATAGCGACCCCTCCTTGGGTTTCCGAGGCAGTATCACTACGGAAGTAGATTGCCCAATCTTCCTTCTGAGGAGTGGCTGGTGGGTTTGAACT